CGCTTGGCAAATCGCGAATGCCCACCGAATGACTATTGGACGTGTACGTAACCAATAGTCACTGACGGAGTTTCAGTTATCACGCCATCCGCCCGCGCTCGCTACATCCGGTTAGGTTTTCGCGTTTTTGCGAGCACGTGCAGCCAAAACCTGGCCATAGCCTCCTCTATATTCACAAAGCCTGGCTGTTCGACGACGGAGCAATAGAGCGCCCGGTCGCAGATTAGGAGCTCGAGGATCTGGTAGCACAGACCATCAAAGAGCCTTTTTGCGGAGAACCAGGACGTCAGCGCACAGCTTTTGCAGCGGCGGGGACCCGAAACACACTTGTTCGCTCGAAAGAAGTGTAAGTATAAAAACCAGAGACAATGAGCTACAAGGACAAGAACAACGTCTCAGACGGGAGAAGTGTACTTCGGCGTCTCGCCGCAGCGGGGCGCCAGTCACGTGGCTCTCCTGTCATTCCTTGCCTGCCGCTCTACCTTTTCCATTTAAGCGGCCGCTTCTCGTGGCGATATGCCAAGGTTTGTTAGTATTTAGGAGGCTATGGCACGGCGCTAAGCAACCAGCCTGTCCTGAATGTCGGGTGTTTGAATGATATGCCCTTCCGTTTTCTCCTTCCCAGTGATTCCAGCCAGTAACGCCTAGGACACGGCGCTTGTCCTGTTTACTTCGACCCCATGTAATATTTTCCGCTATTTTATTTGTTTAACTAAGATGAACCAACCAGCCCAGCAACGTAACTTTCTAGAAACCAAGGCCAGTCTATGACGTTATTCTTAGTGGCTCCCCGACCCGCCACAAGCGGAAAACACGTTGAACCTTGACGACAAGCGCCGCAAAGCCGTAGACGCGTTCGATTTGGCGTCGCTGCATGCTTCTGTATCACTTGTGAGTCGCTGCGAGACACGCTGGAGGAAAAGCAGGCCCGAGCTAGGCAGCGCATTTTAGATCCACTGGTAGTGACGTTTTCATTGTCTCTCTTTTGTTGTTGTATTTTTGCTTTCGTTTTATTTGACAGGAGGGGGAGGAGGCGCAGCCTCGTCGTCTAGATGGTGTTGCGACAACTCATGTCAATTGGGGTGCGGGGCACGACGACGGATTGATAACGACGTTGGTGCAAAGCGGTACTGATAGAGTCTAGCCATTCATTTGGAAGTATAGGAGGCAAATGAGGAGGCGCCATTCGCCAAGAGCGGGCTGGGCGTGTTCTAGGGCGTCTTCACGAGTTAGAATCTGGCCAGTCAGAAGCCACCAATAATGCCCTTGTGGTGGTCGCGAGAAACAAACTTAACAAGTGCGTTAGAATGACGCTCGGGTACTGAAGTCATCTGCTCTATAAAAGAGTACGTGACTTTCCGATCACGATGATAAAAATTTTAAATCTAGGAGAACAATCGACCTGCTCCGTACTCAAAGGGCCGAGGTGAACGTTACTAGAACCACTCAGTTGGGGAACTGCCATAGCGACTGCTCTGAAAAACTGGCACCAATCTGTACTCGAGAACCAAACTTATGGCGATCATAACGCCGCCATTTCTACCGCAGCGGCCACTCGAGGACCTGCACGTGACTTTTATTTTGGTTTTAAACGGCCATTTTGGCGCCGAAGCAGATACGGCGGAAGGGGTTTGAGGGGTGCCACTCCCGTCTCCCCAGCGGACGTGCCGCGCTTTACTGCTGAACTTAAGATGCGCCTATTAATTTTTGATGCCGGTACAATTTCCGTTGCGTTTGCATCACGGTCACAGCATTAACTAGGTATTACGTGCATGACAGTAATGAGGTCCTACGGTTTTTGCCCATAACTTGACCCGTAGAGGCTGGGCAGGAAACCGTAATTCTCATGCCCGTGATCCACATATACAAGAATTGTTCCGGCATCGAAAATTAGCCGGCGAGTTGTCCGTAACTTGCGACGGCACAAAACCGTAATACTTAATGACTGAGCTGCACGTGATGTGTAACGACGGAAATCGTTCCGGCATCAAAAATTAGCTGGCGTGTTGTCCGTAACTTGCAACGGCGAAAAACCGTAAATCTGAATCACTGAGCTGTACGTGATGCGCGACCGACAGGAATCATTCCTACATACGAAATTAGCAGGCGTGTTGTCCACACCTTCCAGCGACGGCCAGAGTCTGTTGAACTACTAGCTGCAGTGACTTAACAAAACGAACGTCTCAGTGAATAATTAATATAGCATTTTACTGTTATATTTATTGTTAATTAAGATGTCCGTTTTGTTAGATCACTGCAGCTAGCAGTTCAACACACTCTGGCCATTGCTGCAAGGTGCGGACAACACGCCAGCTAATCTTTAATGTCGGAACGATTCCCGTCGTCACGCATGACGTGCAGCTCAGTGATTAACAGTTACAGCTTTCTGCCACTCCAAGTTACAGACAACACGTAAAATAATTTTTAAAGCCGGAAAAATTCAAATTAAATATCTAGTGTCCAGGGAATGTGGCCACTGACTAGGCTGTGGACCTAAGTTACTTTCAGGAGTAAATGCCAGCTGCGCATACCAGAGATTAACAGCTGCTTAAACTGTGTGTTAGAAATTTCAAGTAAGTGCACACGAGATACAGTATTAGGTAAAACATGTTCATATCTTTATTCTTAAGAAATAATTAGTGGGCCATGTCCAGCTTTCATGTGGAAGGCAATCTCTAATTTCCTGAGCAATCAAGTCCATATGAAGAATTACAGAACCTGAAAAACAAAACAAAAAATGTGGAATGTGATTAGGTCGTTAACAGAATGCGATGACAGAATAAACCACCCGATTTCCGCAAACTATGAGTTGCATGTAAGCACACTGAAGGAGCCTCCGCTCACCTCTGGCGGGCACTAAGCAGTGAAACCAACTTGTGACTTATGATACGAAACCATTTTAACATGGGAAGTTCGAAATATGCCTTTGGAAGACAGAATTGCCGCGCCCACTGAGTTACTTAAAGCCTGCTGTCCCAAGTTACTTTCAGAAGTTACTGTCAACTGTGCCTCCCAGACATAAATAAACACCGTGTCAGTAGGGTTGTGCGAATATTCGGAATTTCGAACAGTAGTTTCAAATAATACACTATTCTATATTCGCTTTGAGAAGAACTGCACTAATCGTTTTTTTCGAAGTGTTGGTTGCGGCGGGCTAGTCCCGTTGAGTGCGCTTCTTACCGAGCACCGTTGCACTGCGGAGAAGCAATACCCACAAAACGAGCTCCGCGTTTGTTGCTTCTCTGCATTACACCAATGCTCTGTGAGAAGCGCACTCAACAGGATAACCCGCCACGATAAACACTTGGGACAGTAGAAATATTGCAATTACGTGCTTGGAAGAAAAGCATAGTACATTGAACGCGGGATAGTGCACACGTGCCGGCTGTATTTTTAATAAATGGAAACTTTGTGAATGTGTATATCTACTTCGTTGTAAAAGTTTCAAAATTGCGTTCCTCATGCGCGATTCATTCTTTTAGAGTGCAGCACTTAGGCACCCGATTCCGGCTTCAGCGGCGGCGGCAGAATCGTGCGTTGCATTATAGGAAGTCTCCCATAATGACGTCACGAGGGTTACCCTCGTGACAATTACTTTCATGAGGGTTACGATGGTTATCCTCACGAGGGTCCTGAGGGTTACCTTTACGAGGGTTGCGAGAGTTAGTTACCCTCGAAAGGGTGACCCCCACGAAGGTTACTTTCACGAGGGTCACCTTCACAAGGGTCACGCGGGTTATGAGAGTTAGGGTCACGAGGGTTACCCTCACGAGGGTCATCCCCGAGGTCACGTGACCTCAGAGAGTCACCTATCCCTCAGTGCCCTTTCATCTTCCCACTCAAGAACTGCGCTCTAATCCGACGTCACAAGGAATTGTAAACGGCTTTAATTTTAGAGCGAAGCCCTTGGGGGCCCGTTTCCAGCCTGAGCCGACGCCGTCGGCGATGCCGTCACCGATGCCGACGCCTCGCCGACGCCGTCGGCGACGCCGTCGGCGTCGTCGTCGGCGTAACCGCGGGGGGTCATGTGAACCCCGAGGTCACGTGACCCCCCCCCCCCGAGGTCTCGTACCCCGAGGTCACGTGACGCCCCGCCCCCCACGAGGTCACGTGACCCCCCCCCCCCGAGGTCACGTGACCCCCCCTACCCCAAGATCACGCGACCCCCCCGGGGTCACGTAACTACCCGCAGGTGACGTGACCCCCCCCCAGTACCATTCCCTGCTCCTCCTCAAGAGCTGCGCTCCAATTCGGCGTTACAGCGATTTGCAAACGGCTTTCATTTTTAGAGCGCAGCTCTTAGGCGCCCGTTTCCGGCTTGAGCAGCGTCGCCGTCGGCGTCGGCGTAACCGCGCAGTGCATTATGGGAAATGTCCCCCCATAATGCACCGCGCGAGCCCCCACCCCCCCCGGGGGCATCCGAATCGTCATCGTCATCATCACTGGTGACGTCATCAGTGACGTCTCTAATGACGTCATTGGTATCGGCATCGTCATCGTCACTGATGATGTCATCAATGACGTCAGTGATGACATCATCGGCATTGTCCCTCGGGGGGGGGGGGGTCACGGGACCCCCCCCCCTCCGGTCAGTTGACCCCCCCCCCCCCCACTACCCTTAACTCCTCCTCCTCAAGAGCTGCGCTCTAATTCGGCGTTACAGGGAGTTGTAAACGGCTTTCACTTTTTTGAACTAAAAAAAAGAAAAATTATTTATGTAGCAAGATTTGAAAATTCACTCAATTTGGCATCTCTATAGGATTCATTTTATGTCAAATCCATCGTTAACTTTCCATCCTAAGACATCAGAACTTCTGAGGTCACAGTTCATAAATATAGATAGAATATTTATTTATTTATTTATTTATTTACCCTAAGGGTCCTTTCGGGCATTACATAGGGGGGAATTTTTAACACCAATATAAGTAGCAATACAAACAATGAACAAATAGCCGTAACACACTGCGAGCAACAAAAAAGATAAAAGCCATAAAGAAACAATTCAAAGTTTTCATGGCGAAGCAAAGCATACAGAGTGATAATGACTTAGGCTTTTTCTGAGATAAAAGAAATCAAGAAGCCTAAAAAAGTTTGGTAATCCTGTATGACTGCAATATTACTTGGTAAAGCGTTCCATTCACTTATTGCGAGGTTCAGCGGGGAGTATTTGTTTAAGTTAGTACGCGCAAATACTGAGTTTACATTGTTAGGATGACCAAAGCGGGGAAAAATGCGAGTAGCGGACATAATGTGCGTTTGACGGGAAGATGATGAACTATGGTAGGTTTTATGAAATAACGAAAAACGTGCCATTCGCCTTCTGGTCACGAGGGGCATTAAATCTAATGAATCTTTGATACGGGTGATGCTACTAGTAGCAGAGTGATCGCGTGCTATAAACCGGGCCGCTTTATTTTGTAGTGACTCCAGACTGTTAATTAAGTAAGCTTGATGTGGATTACATATCACTGAGGTGTACTTCAGTTTGCTTCTTACAAGGGATGTATATGCCATAAGTTTCGTGTTAGGGTCAGCTAGAAATAAGTGTCTTCTCAAGAAACCTATTTTTTAGAAGCATCCCTTAAAGTTATTTCAATTTGGAGGTTCTATGAGAGGCTAGGTGTTAAATGAATTCCTAGAAATTTATATGATTGTACCCTTTGAATATCTGTATTGTTAATTCTATAAGCATGTTCGGTTATCTTCCTTTTCGTCGTGAAAGACATGTATTTAGGTTTCTTTGTGTTAATCTGCATTTGCCAATGAGAACACCACCTTGAAATTTTCTCGAGGTCAGCTTGAAATATAGCACTATCAGAGGGAAAGGTTATGGCCCGATAGGTGACGCAGTCGTCTGCGAAAAGCCGAATGGTAGAGGTAATGTTGTTATGAATGTCATTAATATAAAGGAGAAAGAGTAAAGGCCCGAGGACAGAGCCCTGGGGAACACCGGATTTAACGGAGACAGTAAGAGAGACAATGTTACCTATAATAACACCCTGGTATCAATTTGAAAGAAAGCCTGAAATCCATTTAACGATGCCTGCTTCTATCTTTGCTCCTCCTAGTTTATGTATTAGTCGTTTGTGGGGGACACGGTCGAAAGCTCTTGAAAAGTCAATAAATACTGCATCAGTGCTGAGGGATGAGTGTATACTACAAATGAAGGTCAGTAACAAGTCCAAAAGTTGTAGTTCATAGGAGCGTCCTCGTCTCCTGTACTTTCCTTATAAACGAACAAGTGGAACAACCTTCACGTGTTTAGCTGGGTTTTCGTCTAAGCATTATGCAATGACAGTAAAGAGCGTGGAAAAACTATTCAATATTCAAATCGAAAATATTCCGCCAATACGTCTATTCGCTTCAAACTAAAAATTTACTATTCGCACAACACTACATGTTAGTAAGGAATTTTAAGCAAGTGCACATAAGATGCAGTATGAAGTAAAACATGTTCATACCTTTATTCATAGAATAATTAGTGGGCCACGCCCAGCTTTCAAATGGAAAGCAATCTCTAACTTCCTGAGCAATCAAGTTTATATGGAGAACTACAGAACCTGGAAAACAAAACAAAAACAATGTGGTATGTGATTAAATTGTGAACAGAACGTGATGACAGAATAAACCTCTTGATTGCTACAAACTATGCGTTACACATAAGCAGTGCTTGAAGTCTCTCGCTAGTTGAGGGGTCCCTACAGGAAGGGGGGAGAGCGGGGGGAAAGGGGAGGGGGGGTTCTGACGAAATTTTTTAGATGCACACGAAATAACACCCACTGCTGACTCTGTCCCCGCCATACCTGCAACCCTCAAATTGCTAATCCCCAAAAGTCACATCCCTGAAAACAAGCTATTTTATTGCAAGATATGATTTTGATTTCACTAATGCTGGGGCTGTGGAGTAGGGTCTCAAACCATCCGTTAAAATCAGTGGGAAGTCAGAGACCCCCTGAGACCCCCAAACTTTAAGCCCTGCACGTAAGTGGAGTGCAGGGACCTCAGCTTAATTCTGGCAGACGCCAGACAGTGAAACCAACTCGTGACTTATGCTACGAAACCATTTTAGCAAGGGAAGTTTGAAAAAAGCCTTCCAAGATGGAGTTGCCGCATTATATGAGTTTATTCATGCCTGCTGTCACAAGTTAATTTCTGGTGTTACTGCCAAGTGCACCTCCCAGAGATAAACAGGTGCTTGAACACCGTGTTAGTAAGAAATTTGAAGGAAGTGCACACAAGATTCTTTGCACTTCCTTTACTAATAAATTCTTGGGAATTAATTAGTGGGTCACGTCCAGCTTTCATGTGGAAGGCAATCTTCATAACTTCCACAGCAATCAAGTCCGTATGAACACCTACATAACTTGAAAAAAAAATGTGGAATGTGGTTAGGTTTTGAATAGAATGCGATAACAAACTCAACCTCCCGATATCTGCAAAACTATGAGTTACACGTAAGTGCACTGCAGGCGCCAGTGTGATTTAAGAAAGCTCTAAACCCAAATGAAATTACTTGGAAGGAGCATGGACAAAGAACTTAGGCAAGTTAGAGTATTTGTTACATGACAGCACCATAAGTTATTGGATATACACGAAACATTTCAAAATATTTAAAACTCCATAAATTACAAAAGTATTTTTTTAATGTTCGTCGTTTTTATCTGGTGACCAGGATACCTTGACACAACTCCTACTGTCGCGACGGCAGCTCGTCCATAAACCACACGACTGATTGAGACGTTGAACACTCCCTCTTTCGTTGTTCTCTACCCACGTTCAGCACGCCACGCATGTCCGTTACTCAGGCAGGCTCTGTACCTGATTCTTCCCCTGCCGTCTCCACCACAAAAGTGACGTTGAATTCGAAGGAGCAAACTGTGCCTGATATTCCAACTGCCCAAAACTTGGGAGGGAAAAGTGGGATAAAGGAGCATGATGCGGCGAGGGACGCCTGGGCGCCTTCTGATCCATGCCTGGAAGTGCATACAAGAGATCAGCGAGTAGCACCGCCTCTCTGCTTGGGACTGACTAGGGACAAGGCAGATGTCGTCACCGACGCCTGAAAACATGGCCGGCTCACTGAATAGGTGGATCGGAGGGCCCCGCAACTAATTAGAATTTTTGTGTGAAACTAATGCAATGTTTGATAAACAAATTTGGCAGTTTTATAGTAAAATGTAATGGGCTTCAGTGACGTACTTAGATTTCATTTTTTCCATTCCTGAAGAGTCTAGAACTAGTTGAATTCCAAAATAATTTCTACAGCTGTTACTAGTTTTACACATACACATAAACAATTTTTTTTATGTGTACAGAAAATTAATGCTTAATCTATTTAAAATGTTGTTATTGCCGCTACAAATTCTTGTCGCCCCCCATAATGCATTCCACGAGAAGGCCCTTGAGGGTAATAAACTTGAACTGAAGTAACACCCATGAAACAGTGTGTGGATTTTTATGGTGCTCCAACAACCAAAACAGAGCCACAAGTAATCCTACTCGTCAATATAATTAGGATAAAAATTCATGCTGACTAAAATTTAGTTTGGCTTGTTGATACGTCACAAAGGAAACATAAAAAACCGCTACGGATAGGAGTGACTCGGCAAAACAAAATGATTACTCTCAGTGGAGGTTTGCTACCAGGAATTAAAAATAAAACACCAAGCAATGAAGATAACTTAAATCATGTGGCACCACCTACCCCACATGGATATCGGTTTGTGTACTGACCAGAGAAGGGGAGCGAAAAAAAAAACATTGGAAGAGGAGACACCTCCAGGTGCATTGTGTGGTGGAAACAATATATGATCCACTTTTGCATAGCCTATGCAGGTGAAGCAAAACCCTATATCAAAGACCGCCCTCGGTGTCCTGCGAACATTTGGCAGTACAGTTACAAGATGTGCGGTTGCAAGACAGAGTTCAATATGATCACATAACTGCAGGCTATCAGGATAGAACCACAACGTAATGTGGAAGCTGGTGAAATTTCGGCTCGTGACAACTGCTTCCTCATCCGGTCCAACTCTTTGTTAAAAAAGGATCTTGATTACCTTCAACCAATAAACAAAAGCAAGCATCCTCAGCATTCACATAAGGTAGGTGGCACAGGCTGATTGCTTGTCGTGTAGTACGTACCATAGAAATAAACCAGAGATGCAAATTGTGAACTGTGAAAATAAAATAATGTGTCACTTCCGCCTTTTTTTCTGGTCTTTTGAAAATCAAATTATTTACAATCTTTCTTATCTGAGCCACTTATATACAACAGAAAATGGAGGGAACCAAATTTGTGAACGTATGGAGAAAAACTATTTTCCTTGTACCGAACCACACTCCAAGAACAAATCTTGGCTAATAGAGTAGCCCACAATTGAAATAAAGTAGTGCTGTATCCTGCATGCCAAAAGATGCACAAAGGCGCTTGCCAAGTGTGATGCAGATGGGCACTGTGGGAAGCTCTTCAAGTTCAACATTGGAGATGTGTGTTGCATTCTAAAAGTAAACCATGATGCAGTTAAACATCAAACCATATCATTATCTGAGAATGTTTCAAAGGCAAGAAGGCACAAGTGGCTAATCTTAAATGCATTACCAGACAAAATGTAATCGTCAGTGGTGAAACTTATAAAAGAACTGCTTGTAAAAGGTAATTGTTGCAAAAACATGGCCTTTGTAGCCCCAGATTTCATATCATTTATTTCACACTGCTAAATTAAGGACGTGACATCCTCAAACAAAAAGCACACGCAACGAAAATGGCACAACAAAGTACTGGGGCAGGATACCACTAGCAGACAATAGTTGATTGAACGACGGCAAGCTGAAGTATTCAAATAACAAACCTGCTGCAAAAAGATGTCCGAGCACTCCATCATGACTGTAGTAGCGTGCCTCGAATGACTGGCATGGGATGGCTGCTTTTGTAGAGGCATCGTAGCTGAAGAACAGTGTTGGCAGGCTCCTAATGCTCCCAACTTGAAATCCACCAAGATGGGTCCCAGGAGCCAGTGTTTTCTCGTGGTTGGCTCGAGAACGATGAATTCCGTGGCATCCTGTGGTTCGTCCAGCGTAAAGTCCCGTCATTGCTGGCGACGCTCTGAAGTATAATCTACAGCAAAAAGATGCGTGAGTGCTTCATCATGTCTGTGGTAGCATATCCCCCACATTTGATCTTTTGGAGCAGGTGATTCCTATTTATCACATAGTAAAAAGCAAAGCAAGTACTATAGAAATTCCCGCAGTTCCTCACAGTGCCATAAAAACTATTATAACTGCAATTATAACGCACAATAATTTGCAGCGAAAAGAATGCTGTTGGGAGTCTTGTAATAAAAGGGGATAGAAAGCAAAAACACCGAACTTTGGGAAGGACCTCATTGCCTTTAAATCTCGATGCATTTACTAAATCAGTCCCATCTTCGACAACTACAAAGCAACAAAACTTTTTTAACATAGCGAATAAACCACACATGTCACAACAAGCATTATCCCTAAAATGAAAATGATGGGAG